AGAAGACTGGTTCGTACAGCCTGTTGCTATCAAGAGGATCATGGCTGATCTGAGACTCCTCACATCCATAGTGATTGTAATGAGGTCAGCCAGGTGAACCTCATAGAATATGAGTTCCCTGTTTGGGGCTGTTAATCTGGTCCAATCTGGAAGCCCTGGCTAACAGATAAGAACAGGCGTGTCAGAGGTCATCGAGTCATAGAGTCATACAGCACAGAAACAGACCCTTCAGTCTCACCAGTTCATGCCAAACATAATCCCAAACTAAACTAGTCCCACCTGTCTGCTCCTGGCCCATATCCCTTCAAACCTTTCCTAGTCAGATAGTTATCCAAATGTCTTTTAAATGGTGTAACTATACCTGCATCCACCACTTCCTCAGGAAGTTCATTCCTCATGTGAACCACCCTCTGTGTAAAAAAGTTTCCCCTCATGTCTTTTTTAATCTCTCTCCTCTCACCTTAAAAATGTGCCCCCTAGTCCTGAAATTCCCCTTCTTAGGGAAAAGACTCCCACCATTAACCCCATCTATGCCCCTCATGATTTTAAAAACTTCTTTAAGGTCACTTCTCGACCTCCTATGCTCCAGTGGAAAAATGTCCCATCATTTCCTTATAACTCAACATTCCATACCTGGCAACATCCTGGTAAATCTCTTTTGAACCCTCTCCAACTTAATAATATCCTATCTTCTCATTCTGAGAGCTGGCTGTAAGCAAGCCAGACCAGTGTCAAGTACTATGCATATGTAGGTAAAGGGTGACTCAGTGACACGATGCTAGCCTCAATGGAATTATTTCAATGTCCACTTTCCTGGCTTTTTCCCTGTGACCCTTGATTCCTTGACTGATGCAGAATCTACCTCTCTCAGCCTTAAGGTCCAGACTGAATGGGATCATGAGGCTGGTTTGCACCATTCATTAAATTTCTGGGGAATTCAAATGCGCACGTTTATCTGCTTGATAATGTTACCAAATAAGATACGAGCATAAAGTACTGATTCCTAGTTTATCAATCTGTCTACTTTTCTTGCAAACTGGGAATCATAGTTACACCTGTGTATCAAATGCGTGTAAGATCGAATGTAGCAATAGGTGGGTAACTGGGATCTCTGTCCTCATCAAAATAATCTGCCAGTCAGGTGACCCAGCAGTTGTTGAATGTTGCACCAATCCAAACCCAACAAACTGCTTTGGATTATGTTTATTGTAATACGATGGTAAGTGAATGAATATGCAACCAAGAAGTTACTGGCTTTTATAAAGTATTTATATAAAATTGACTAAAGATATAGATGAACGTACCAAGCAAAATATTTCTCGCTTAAATAAATATAAGATACTAAGGAAGGATCTGAGGAAGGTTCTGAGGAAGGGTCACCAAACCCGAAACATTAACTCTGTTTTCTCCTTCACAGATGCTGCTAGACCTGCTGAGCTTTTCCAGTAACTTAGTTTTTGTTTCTGATTTACAGCATCTGCAGTTCTTTCGGTTTTTATTAAGATACTAATAATTTATTCTGAAACAGAAAATTTTCCTTTAATGTCATGCTTGTATCAAGAAGAAGACTGATTTAAGAAAGCACTAGTTATGAGGGGCAATGTTGATGGATTTATAAACCGAGGTTTAAATCCAACCATTTCCAGCTGGTGAAGTTTATTTTCAGTTCTACAATGTAAAACTAGTTATTTGGCCGTGATAACTATTGTTGTAAAAACCCATCTGGTTCACTAGAAAACAGCATCTGCTGTCATTCCTGGTTAGCCTAAATGTAACTCCAGTCTGAAGCAATTACCTCATACCTGTGAAATTCAGCAAACCCCCACTTGGGTCATTGCCAACTTGAAATGAGAAGCAAGCATCATCCTTGCTGGTGATGCTGACATAGAAACATAGAAAACAGGAGCAGGAATAGGCCATTCAGCCTTTGGAGCCTGCTCCACCATTCAATAGGATCATGGCTGGTCATTCAACCTTCCATTTTCTTCATACTGCATTGGACTACTGGTTCAAGAATATTTCTACTTGTGAGAAGCATTGAAACTTTGGTCTCTTGTCAAGATTTTTGATTTCACTTGGACAATAGAGTAAGATTAAGACTGTGTTGTAGTCCCATAAGTTCCCAGGCCTACTACAAAATCGATCTTTGGGTAGTTTGTGGTCTTGTTGATTGAGCAGGAGTGTGAATGTTTGCCAAGGTCGATATTGGCCCGGTGATATCAGCGATATTCCAAATGAATGAATTTGCCGTTGAGGTTTTAAACAGCCTTGGCTCCTACTCCCACTTCCTTCCTGCAATAATTTAGCATCATCATTTAACAGAGGGACCTATGCTTTACATGGCAGTGAATGGACTCTGTGGTTAGAGGCTGTTATGCAGTGAAGGCTCAGAGCTAGAAAATGCAGCCACAGACTAATGGAAAATGTGAATATCTCAATACAGAACCTTAGCCTGAGATCCTGGAATACTAGACCAGAGACATTACCAGCACCTCCCCATAAATACTTGTGAAATAAAACAGCCAATATGAATGGAATCCCCTCCCTAATCAACATCTCCACCTTACATTCTTCCTTTAACTGATCTCTGAACAAGCCTTTTGACACCTTCCCTAAAGTCTCCTGTTGTAGCTCAGTGTCATTTTATAAATTATTGTACTCCTGTGAAGCATCTTGGGACATTTTAAAAGATGCTATTTAAACACAATTTATAGATGCCACTTTGTGATATCGGTTCATAATGAAAGCTAGATTCTCTGAAATCATGCTTCAGAACATTTCAATTACTTTTTGTCAACGGCCCATTAATTTCGATTTTTATCCAAATTGGATAAAATAATCAGGAAAATTAGAATTGCAACTCCTCAATCTGCCTCAAGACATTTGGCACTGGCCCAAGAGAGAATAAAGCTTTCTCTCTACAATTCTCCAGGAATGTATCTCAACCATAAGAGTTCAGACCAGTACTCCTCCTCCAGTCTTTGTCAGTGTGACATCCCAATTTCACACTCAACCGCTGTTGACTTTGTCTCTAAGTGAGATGAATATGTTATTACATCAGTCATGAGCAGTGGGAAACTACACACTGTGCTCCTAGGAATTAGGTTAAGAGTATTTCTGTAAAATTAACAGCAGATCCTTACAGCCTGTCAAACTGGGCTGTTTTCAAATCCATGCCCTCCCTATAGGTGGAAAGATTATCCTGTAACCCACCATGGATGCCCAAGTCATTATTATACTCTTTGTAGTGATTTTTTTTTCCAGTTCCAACTTGCCAGTAATAAGGAAACCTCATAGCTAGCTTTTCCTAAAGGAAAGCAAGCTATTCTCGGTTATTCTTTGTCCTTCAGGATTTTTCTTTCATCTTGAAAAGATAATATGGAAAGATCTTTACAAGAGCTTGCTAGAACTTGTACCAGATAGTGTAGGCTGGATGGGGAGAATGGCATCATTTATACTGTGTGATTATAATGATACACTGAGCCTTTCTAATGTGGACATTAATGAACTTGGTGCGGTTTTAAACCTTTGTCATTCTGTGTTGAATTGCTGGTTTTAAAATATTTCTCCTTGTGAAAGGCGCTAAAACTTTGATTTCTTATCAAGATTTTTGATTTCACTTGGAGAGTAGAGTAAGATTAAGACTGTGTTGTAGTTCCTCTTTTAATAGTATTCCTACTTTATATATAAACAGACATTGTCCAGTACAGCTCATTTCAAAGCATGTCAGAAAAATGTAATACTAATGGAATTAAAATCCTTTGGAATTCATAATTATCTAGGAACTAATAGAAACCTGCAGGTCAAAATGAAATTGTTCAAATTTCCAAGTGTCCATATATGTCCTCGAGTATTAATCCTCATAAAGGTTTTCAGGATCCTTCTAGTGCTTGAACTGCCTTGTCTCATCGAGTGTTAGGATACAGCTCACAAAACTATATTTCCATAAGATGTGACTTCCAGCTGGAAGGGAGTGTTGCCAATCAAATATCAGATAATTCCTAAATCAGCACTTAGGGGAATTCATCTACACAGCTCAGTTCATAATTATCTCCATGCCTGGCAAACAATAATGGAGACATGGAGAAAACATCTTCCTACAATGTTTCCAACTGAGTGCAGGTAATGGCCCTAGTGGTCTTGTCGCTAGCCTGTTAATCCAGGAGACCCAGCTGGTGTCCTGGGAGCCTAGGTTCAATTCCACTGCAGCAGACGATCGCATTTGAATTCATTAAATGGCTGGAATTGACAATCTAATAATGAACATGAAAGCTGCCCATGAGGGAAGGAAACCGCTGGCCTTGTCTGACCTAGATGTAACCACCCACAGCAATGCGGTTTACCGCCCTTTCAAATGGCTTTGCAAGCTATCAATTGTTATGAAGTCTCAAACCAGGATAAGTTGAGAGAAAGTAGAAGTTTTATTAGCACTTCCACTCAAACCTCCATTGTTGTATTTCTAATGTTTGCCATCCAGATTATCCTTCAAAATATCTACTGCACATGCAGGACTTTTCCCATTGCACATTGTTTACAGTGGCATTTCATTTATTGTTGCTGATAAAAACAATTTTTTTATCTGAAACATTTCACTGGACCTCATTCCATGCCTAAATATTGATGATGTGGAGGTGCCGGTGTTGGACTGGGGTGGACAAGGTCAGAAGTCACACGACACCAGGTTATAGTCCAACAGGTTTATTTGAAATCACAGGCTTTCGGAGCGCTGCTCCTTCGTCAAATATTGATGCACCTCTGGCTCATGGGCATAATTCAAAATCATTTTCCAATTTCCCTTATTTGTGTCATTATCATTCATTCATTGTTCATATTTTGACATGTACAAAAACCTGAAGTCTTGATCTGAATTTTTTTGGAAACTGTCAAATGGAATTGCTGTTGTAATTTTGCCATAAGGATCCTCTTTCTAAAGGGGATCCCAATGTTGTTTAAACAATGAATGATAATTCAAAATCACTCATTCATTCTTTTGCATTCCAGCACTTTCAGACCATGTTGAAAACGAAACTGAATGTTCTGACACTCCGGAAAGAGACCTTACCAACCGTCATCTTTCATGAACCAGAAGCTATTGAACTGTCCCCAACGGCTCCTCCAAAGAATGGTCCGTTTTATACAGAGCGCAAGGTTTGTTATATCTCCCAGCATGTTGATGAATTTAGTTGTTATTTTTAGAGTAACAATGTGCCATTTATTACTGACAATATTTCACAGGCTGGGACAGGAGTCTGGTTGTTTTTATTCCTTAACCTCAGTGTAACATTTACTGTCTGAACAGAGGGCCAGTCTCCATCACACACAGCTGGTCTCTTCAGAGCACACCAACGGGTAAATGGTTGTTGAGTCTTTTAGACGTTACCTCAGACCTACACATAGAGAATTGTTTGGCTTCTACTTTTGTGTACTTCCCAGCAGATTTTAGTCTTCAGAGAAGATGAGCATGACCCTAGAGGTAACAGGAAAATACGAGAAATTGAAGGGCTCAGGGTATAACCAAGCTCCTTAGCCTTTAGCTCTGTGAGCTCTGTGAAAATCTATGATAAATATTGAAAGATAAACAAACTGCTTCCTCCCTTCCATTCCTAATTGAAAGAATTGCAGTCGAAATGTAATTCAGGGGAAACCATTTCTCCTGAGTCTGAGAAGGAGATTATTTCATTCACACTGATTTCTCCATTTTGGTGTCAACAAAGTGAGAGAGCACAGTTGCACTGAATTAATCGAAAACACACCAAACTTTTTCATCTCATTTACAGGGTCCTAGGCCCAGCATTTATTACCCGTCCCTAGTTGCCCTTTGAGAAGGTGGTGGTGAGCTGCCTTCTTGAACCGCTGCAGTCCTCTTGCTGGAAGTTGACCCACAATGCTTTGGGAAGAGAACTGCAGGATTTTGACTCAAGGACAGCCTATTTTTTTAATCTGTGTCATGAAATCATCATTACGATGGCTGACAATGGAACTTTGGGATAGAATTTGTCAGATACTTTAGAGTCAGATACATTAGGGACATTTAAGCGACTCTTGGGTAGGCACATGGAGGATAGTAAAATGTAGGGTATGCAGTGGAGGTTGATCTTAGTAGGATAATAGGTCAGCACAACATCGTGGGCCGAAGGGTTTGTACTGTGCTGTACTGTTCTATGTTCTGCATTTTTAATTAGATCCAAGGAAGGGACATGCAATTGGCAAAAAGAGCGGCAGAGCTGAGGACTGGGAGCAGTTTAGATTTCAGCAAAGAAAGACAAAGGGGATGGTTAAGAGGGGGAAATAGAGAGTAAACATGTGGGAAACATACAAACTGATTGTAAAATCTTCTATAGGTGTGTGAAGAGAAAAACATTAGTGAAGCCAAATATCTGTCTCCTACAGCCAGAAACTGGAGAAGTTATAATGAGATCGCAGACCAATTAAATTCCTATTATGGTTCTGACTTCGCAAAGGACACTAATAACATCCCAAAAATGTTAGGGAATGCAGTTGGTCTAATGACAGAAAGGAACTGAAGGAAATCTATATCAAAAGGGAAATGATGTTGGGGAAATTGATGGGATTAAAGACTGAAATCCCCAAGGCCTGATAATCTACATTCCAGAGTATTTAAGGAAGTGGCCTCAGAAATAGTGGATGCATTTAGTGGTCATCTTTCTACAGACTATGGAACAGTTTCCATGGATTGGAGGGGAGCTAAGTTTTACTTAAAGAGCAGTTGGAAGGAAAATCATAAATTATAGACCAGTTGACGTGACCTTGATGGTGAGGAAAATGCTCGAGTCTATTATAAAAGAGCACTTAAAATATAAAATAGCTGAGCACTTAGAAAGCAGAGACAGGATCAAATGGAGTCAGCATAGATTTATGAAAGGGAAATCATTCTTGACTACTCTATTGGAATTTTTTGAGTATGTAAATAATAGAGTTGATCGGGGGAGCCAGTGGATGTGGTTTATTTGAACTTTCAGCAGTTTTTCAATAAGGTCCCATTGTAAAAGACTAGCTTGTGAAATTAAAGTGAATGGGATTGTGGGTAGTGCACTGACGTGGATAGGGAACCAGTGGCGGTACAAATAAACATGTGTTTTTCCAAGTGTCAGGCAACGACTATTGGGGTACCACAGGGATCAGAGTTTGGCACCCAGCTATTCACAATATGTATTAATGATACAGAGGAGAAAACTAAATGTAATATGTAAGTTTGGAGATGACTCAAAGCTAGGTGGGAATATGAGGAGGGTGCACAGATGTTTCAGTGCGATTTGGAAAGTGAGTGGGCAAATGCATGGCAGATGAGATATAATGTGAAGATATCCACTTTGGTAGCACACACAAGAAGGCAGATTATTATTTGAATGGTGATGGATTGGGAAAAGGCAAGGTGCAACGATACCTGGGTGTCCTTGTACATTTGTCGTTGAAAGTAGGCACACAGCTGCAGCAGTACTGTGTGCAGTTTTGGTCTCCTTATGTGAGGAAGGATGTTCTGGCGATGGAGGGAGTGCAGTGAAGGTTTGCCGGACTTGATTCCTGGGATGGCAGGACGTGAAGAGACGCTAGAACAGTTAAAACTGTATTCACTGTAGCTTAGAAGAATGAGGCAAGATCTCACAGAAACCTATAAAATTCTAACAGGGCTAGACAGGGTAAACACAGGAAGGATGTTCCCGATGACCCAGGAGTGCAGAACCAGGGCATCATAGTCTAAGGATAAGGGGTGGGCTATTTAGGACTGAGATGAGGAGAAATGTCTTCACCCAGGTTATAGTGAGCGTGTGGAATTCTCTGCCACGGAAAGAGGTTGAGGCCAAAACACTGAATGTCTTCAAGAAGGGGCCAGGTATAATACCTTAGGACTAAAGGGATCAAAGGGTGTGGGAGAAAGTTGGAACCAGGGACTGAGCTGGGTGATCAGTCACAATCCTATTGAATGGTGGAGCAGGCTCAAGGGCCGAATGGCCTACTCTTGCTCCTGTTTCTATGTCTCTGTTTTATCTCCTTATGTTTTGAACTTCAGCTGTGTGTGTGAAACCGTTTTGAAAATGCCCAGCATCTGTAAAGGGCAACTTTTGTTTATTCATTCATGATTTGTAGAGATCGCAAGCTGGCGTGCCATTTATTGGCCATCCCTAACTGCTGTGAGGGCACTTAAGGGTGAACAGCATTACTGTGGGTTTGGCACCACCTGTAGACCAGGCTGGGTAGGGATGGCAGGTCACCTGAAGTGAAGCAAATGGGTTTTTACAATGATCAGCTGCAGTTACATGGTGGTCATGAGGATAACTTTTTAATTGACTTCAAATGACACGTCTGTCATAGTGGGATTTGAACTAAAACCCCTCGCCTGGGGAGTCTCAGTCTCTACTCCAGTGACATTAGTACTGTACCACCATCCTCTGCATATTACAAACACACCAGTTCCCTGATTGCTGGTTAGTGCCATTTGGCCATGGCCTGCTACTTCAGGATAGGACACCTAGTGTATGTCACATCACATTGGTGCATAAGACTTAACTACCAAAACCTGACTAAAATCACAGACTCAAACAAATTAACCGGTACAGTTATCTGAACTTCAGAGATTTTTGTTTAATGAGTTTGATCTCCCAGCTGTAGGAAAGATGTTGTGAAACTTGAAAAGGTTCAGAAAAGATTTACAAGGATGTTGCCAGGGTTGGAGGGTTTGAGCTATAGGGAGAGGCTGAATAGACTGGGGCTATTTTCCCTGCAGTATCGGAGGCTGAGGGGTGACCTTGTAGAGGTTCATAAAGTCTTAATGTCCAAAACTAGAGGCCATAGGTTTAAGGTGAGAGGGGAAAGATTTAAAAGGGACCTAAGGGGCAACTTTTTCACACAGAGGGTGGCACATGTGTGGAATGAGCTGCCAGAGGAAGTGGTGGAGGCTGGTACAATTATAACATTTAAAAGGCATCTGGATGGGTATATGAATAGGAAGGGTTTAGAGCGATATGGGCCAAATGCTGATTAATTTAGGATACCTGGTCAGCATGGACAAGTTGGAACGAAGCATCTGTTTCCGTGCTGTATGACGCTAAGTCAGGGGAGCATTGGGTGGTTCGTTTTCATACCCATATCATGGCATATGACTGGACACACCAGAGCCAAATGCCATACAGCTGTGGGTGAAAGGACGAGAGGTCTGCATCGACGAGGAGAGGTGAAGTCGTCTCCTGTGGACTGTAATCAACATGGATCGAACACAAAATCCTGTAGAAGCTGGAGCCCTGAGATGCGAACAAAACAGCTGGGAGTACTCAGCAAGTAAAGAGATAGAGATTCAGCTCAACGAACTCCCATCAGAAATGATGCAACAACCAGTTTTTATAGAGCTATATTTTCAAATTGCATTAAGAAATACTTGTTACATGCTCTGAAACTAAATAAGTCTATTATTATGAAATATTCTATTCACTTAGCTACGAGAGATCCAGAATGGTTTCTTAGTCCTTTGATATGTTAGTGATAGACTGAGGGTAACTCTCTCCCATTTAGTTTAAATGTACTGCCTGGTGGGCTGTGTAAGGGAATTCTAGATCATAATAAGGTGAAGTGGCCATAGTCCCACTAGACCAATAGGCTGCTTTCCCAGGAGAGAGAACCCATGGTGGTTTAACCTGACGGTCACAATGCTTGTGGCAAGGGGTGCCGTTTGTGGTGACATCAGCTGGTGTGGGAAGGGGAGGCGACGGTCTAGTGGCATTATTGCTGGGCTGTTAATCCAGAGACCCAGATAACGTTCTGGGGCCCAGGTTCAGGTCCCACCACGGTACATGGTGGGATTTGAATTTAACGAATATCTGAAATTGAGAGTCTAATGATGACCATGAACCCATTGTCGATTGTCGGAAAAACCCGTCTCGTTCACGAATGTCCTTTAGGGAAGGAAACTGCCATCCTTACCTGGTCTGGCCTACATGTGACTCCAGACCCACAGCAATGTGGTTGACTCTTAATGCCCTCTGGGCAATTAGGAATGGGCAATAAATGCTGCCTGGCCAGGACATCCTCATCCCATGAATGAATAAAGAAATTGAACCTACTCTGTTGGTACCACCCACAGTATCAACGAGACAGCCAATCATTTGAGCTAATTAGCTCCCCAAGACTATGCCAGC